GGCAGTATATTGACGTTACACGCGCGCGGCGACATGAGGATGAGGAAATCAATTGGCCACGACCTGGGTGAGGTAACGACACTCGGACGCTGGGCTGGGTTTACCCACATTTGGAGGTGAAAGGAGCAGCCAAAAAAGTGTAGATCGCGCCCAGACATTGTTCTGCCCCGCATTCACGACGTGGAATGTCAGGCAGATTTGATCTATCCCATTTGTGATTTAGAGTGGTGACGTCGTCGGGAGAGGGCGGTGTCATGTCAAGATGCAATGGAAGATCGTTGCCAGCCGGTTTCCAGCCGCGATATGACCTCGTTGTTTAAAATGTAGAGTTTTTATGTGCCTCGAGGGTGGCGTCACGAGTAAGAGGGTGGCAAGAGATAAGGTCGACGTAAATTCCAAGGTGGTGGGATGACATGAATGGAAACGTTGCTCGAATATTGATGGGTGGTTATGTTATATTATGGACCGCGGCGGCGGCGGTGGCTGTGCCTCGGGTGCGGCTACAAAACTGGAAAGCGATTGGGTCTTTCTCATCACCACTCTTCGCATTTCCTCTCGTCCGCGATTTATCTGACTTATTTCTTTGTGAGTTGTCTGCTATTTCCGAAATACGTGGTCCCATCGATCATTACGTTATCGCGATACCACCCATGGCCTCCCTGGACCCACAGTCAGGTTTCAACGTGCTGATGTCTTTGCAGCTCAGATCAGGCCCACCATCTCTTGGTCCACGAACCATCTCCTTCCTTTACACCCACAACGTCCCCATCGCTCGCTCTTAATTGCCTAATACCTCAAATCCCTTCACATGGATCGGTTAGCAACTACGGTGCATCACTGTACCCAGTAAAGGCTGACTTGGTCAATAGCTACGCAAAGATCGAGAAAGTCGGTGCGTAATTACTCTTTTTTATCGTGGCATCGTCCGCAAACACACCTACCAATCGACCGCAGGAGAAGGTGACTTCTTTCCCATAGCTCCACAAACGTGCCACACTGATGACCGCTTTCACCACCAAAGGCACATACGGCGTTGTTTACAAGGCCCGGGATACGCAGCTGAATCAGATCGTCGCGTTGAAGAAAATTAGGCTGGAGGCAGAAGATGAGGGCGTGCCGAGTACCGCTATTCGCGAGATCAGTTTGTTAAAGGAGCTCAATGACGTGAATATTGTCAAGTAAGCCCTATCACGTTTAATATCTTCCTCGGAACCCCTGGGCTGACAAGTCCCAGGCTTCTCGACATCGTTCACGCCGATCAGAAATTATACCTCGTCTTTGAATTCCTGGATGTGGACCTGAAAAGATACATGGAAACTGGAAACCAAAATCGTACGCCCATTACTCTGGATATCGTCAAGGTGAGCTCCCCTACACCAACATGCGGTTCCTGAAAGGCGTGGGGACGGTTTTTTGCACGTGTGGACGCGTTATTGACGCGTTTAACGCGTCACAGACGCCGAGGTTTACCCCACTTAACACCGCCATGGTCGTGTCTCTTTATTTCCAGCATTGCCAATGTCGCGAACATTGAGGATCGTTGCTGAGTTAACGGACCTAGGCTTAGGGGGGTGGATCCTCTTTCTTATCTATTTGCATGTGATTCCCGTCGGAGCGCATCATTAAACCTCTGTAACAAAGGAAGACCATTGACTGATGTCCTTTAATCGCAGAAATTCACTCACCAACTTAATTCCGGTCTGCTCTACTGCCATTCACACCGCATCCTACATCGCGATCTCAAGCCCCAAAACCTGCTCATCGACAACAGAGACAACCTTAAACTGGCCGACTTCGGCCTTGCCCGGGCGTTCGGTATCCCGATGCGGACATACACGCATGAGGTACATTTTCGGGCGCCTTGTCCTGTCCGACTCATCGTTTCCCCAGCTGACCATGGCGACTTCTCCGTAGGTCGTGACCCTGTGGTATCGCGCCCCCGAAGTCCTGCTCGGCTCGCGCCATTACTCCACCGCCATCGATATGTGGTCCGTAGGCTGCATCTTTGCGGAGATGGCGATGCAGGGCTCCCCGCTGTTCCCGGGCGACTCGGAGATCGACCAGATCTTTAAAATCTTTAGGTGCGTCCATGTATACACCCAAGTCTACCTTTGAACGTTTAGATGGATGCTAATGTGGCGTTGGTTAGGATTCTTGGGACCCCCAATGAGGAGATCTGGCCTGGCGTCAGCGGTCTCCCGGACTACAAGGCCACGTTCCCGCAGTGGTCGCGCCAGGACCTGGCGCGCATTGTGCCTACACTAGATGACCTGGGCATCGACATGTTGAAGGTACGATCATTATAACCTAGGGGATCGTCGCAATCAACGCCCTCGGTGTCATCCTCGGGGAATGCCTTGGCGCGTGGGGCAGCATTTATGCCCCTTGGTTCTTTGTATGAGATCTTTGACTGAATCTTTTTTTACCTATAGCGCACATTGACTTACGATTCGGCCAAGCGCATCTCAGGTGTGTACTCATGCTCGTCTCCCTGAATCGATAGCGGCTAAAAAGTGGCTCATTTTAGCAAAACGTGCCCTCAACCACCCCTACTTTGAGGGCTTCACGCCCTGAAGACGCAGAACACACCGTCCCTCGTAATATCCTGCTGTCCTTGCTTTCCGCCACCTGCCCTCCCCTCCCCGCTTCGTTCTTCCCTTAACCTCTCTCCTATCTCTCTCTGACTCTCTCTCTCGTTCCCATAACTCGCTCCGCCTCTGGTTCAGATTCCATCATTCGTGATATACAATACAATACGTACAAGTTTATAACTGCAACTTCCCCACCACCCCATGGCATCCTCTACTATCGCATTGCATCTTTTTATATAAAAATACAAATTTTCTGAACATTCACATTCTGGTTTTCTTGCTGGTTCATGGCGTGGTATTGAGCTACTCGGTGCTGAATCTAGGAAGGGCGGGGTTTTCTGGGCCAGCGAGGCAGAATGACGCATATCACTCTAGACGCGTCGCGATTCACCAAATACCATCGCCGGCATGGGAGAAACCTAACGGGTTCATCATTGCCTAAGATGTAGTATAGGCACGCTAAGTGTCTAAGCATTAACTAAAAGATATCCTACGTTTGGTCCACAAAGTCGCCCATCGCGGCCCTGAGTATTTTCTTCAGTCATGACCTGAGTTTGAGGTAGATGAAGCTCACCTCACAGCAGTCATCCCCGCAAACGCCGCTCTATACGTGCCAAATTTTATTCTTGACAAACAAAAAAGTTAACATTAATTCTCATGCTGCGGGTACCATGGGACATACGAAGATGATGATGAGCCCATCTCTCCAGAGATCGTGTACCTCAAAAGCTGGTGGCTCTGGTTGGCAGCATCCTTGACGACGTAGTCGAAACGACCTGTAGGTCCGTAGGTCACTGTCACGAAGTGTACCGTTGTGCGATCGGTGAAGTTTGCTAATGGGATGGAAGGGCATCCCGTCGTGGTGCAGTCGCGCTTGAAATCCCGAACCACGATTTGCCCGTCTGCGGCGTCGAGTGTGATGATCGGACTGCCGTCCCCGCGTGAAAAGAGCTGCATCAGGTGGAAGAAATGGCTGGAAGTGCCGACCGTGGAGGACAGGCTGGAGAAGTGGATTTCAGATCTGAATTGCTTTCGGAGGGCAAGGAAAGAGGGCTTACTAGTATCTCCACTTAAACTTGTGAGTCGTGCCATCTGCAGCGCCGGGTGTGAGGAATTCTATCCGCTGCCTGGCAGCCCCGGGGCTCGGATCCAAGTTCGCTGTAGGATCTGAGGATAGGGAGCCGGAATAGCAATCCGTGATCGCAATTGGGTAATTGACGCTATCTGTGCATCCTTGGTAAAGTATGCCTGCGTAATGGTGAATTAAATGCCACCAAGCGAATGTGGCCTAGTAAATCTCACCCGAAGCTTGCCAGGAGAGCAGACTGCTGATTTTTCCGGACTGCAGGGATGTACCGTCTGCGAGCTGGACGGGCGCTCTACCTTCTACATGAGCCGCACGCACGGCCGCTAATGTGGCAAGGGCGAAGGCAAGCGAAGGGCGCGAAAGCAACATGATGAAAATGAGTATGGTGTACGCGCCATGAGTTCTGTAGAGTTATATATCCATGAGATGCGCCAGCGCTAAAATCCATCAAGCTTGTATTAGTGGGCGCTCTTCGGGGCCCCGGGCGCTCATAGTAGTCATAATGATACACGGGAGTTCCTGAGGCTGGTGGTCACCAGATATCAAAATCTAGCGAGGAGAGGGCTGATGCGGCCACCGGGCACAGCTTCCGGTCCGAAGAATTGCTGGCAGCATACCTTCCGGACAGTATATGAACTAGTCCAGCACATACGTTTTCCGCTTTACCCATGATGTTTATTCTTTATGCGAATGACGTTGGATGGCTCTGGTAGTCGCACCGTGATCGTGAAATGATTGAGGAGAGCTGTACGAAAAGACCTTTTTAGTAGCTAGTGCCTTGCAACGGATATGGGGACCTCCTAATAATTAGTAGGTACTTACGTGTAGTTTCCTCGATTGCGACTGTAGTTGTGGTGCGTGTGTATAGAATCAAACTTTCCTGTTAGAACATATCACTATCCTGGCCCCGTTCCAAAAGTTGTGATGGAGAAGCTGTGTGGCTACCTTGTTCATCGCGGGCGGCGCGCGGTCAGCATCTTAGTGTAAGTTCGAAAGATCTTGGGCTTAACAGTAATGGCGATCGTACTGAAATTGACCATGGAAAAGTTGCACCATGGCAGCCTGTTCCAGCTTCCGGCTGACAGTCTGAGTGAGTGTGCATGAATGAACTTGGAATGAACCACTCGGAGTGTTAGTAAGCAGCCGGGGTCAACCGTCAGCTGCCTGTCACGAGAGAACCTGATCTGGCTATGCTCAGAATCAAAGAGGCGTGGTCGTGCTTCCAGCACTGAGCAGCAACGCCAGTTGCGCAGGGAAATGAGGTTTACTGGCTCTAAAGACAGTCCCGAGTCCAGAAAACCATAGCTTGCATCGATAACAACGTCTTATTCGATTAGTGGTCAAATCATCTCGTTGTGGTTCGCATGGTTGTGGCGTATACAGCAGCTCCGAGAAGCCGGAAGTTCGAATCCTCCATAGGACATGCAGTTGATTCTTTAAACCTTTTTCATTTCTTTTTTCATGATTCAACAAGACTGTGGGGGAGATACATAACTGACGAGTCTCTGTTTGACACCAGCTATGATCAGAACGATATGGCTTTCATAGGTAGACCGCAGGTGAGTGCATGACACTCGCTCCCAGCAGCGGGCACCTAGCAGTCTCATTGGTTCCTGGTGGCCTAAGCATTGATAGTGTTACTCGTCGTCCTTTCATGGATTGCCAAGCTCCTCCAGGCCTGGGGTCTTCACAACCATCCTGATCTTCAAAGCTTCATTGCTGGCACCTCAGGTATCTGAAGACTTTCACAATTTACCTATCAGGCAAAGCCAATGATTGACATCTGCTTCTTATCGACAAGTCACAACAATTGTCGTCAGACCCAGCCGGCCAGTCAAAGGATCTTATCCCCTCCAAGTCCCTAACTTGAAACCAGATTGCCGCCAGTTTATTTTCAACAATGCCTGCTTCCTGCATCCCTGGGAATCCAAGAGACGTCAGATTCCCAAGAGACGTCATTTATCCTAGGGACGCAAGCCGTCAATAGCTTACCTACCTCGGCGTCCCTTCCTCCGAACGAATTTTCAGCATGCCCGGGTCCAACGTGCATGAATGAGTACTGCGCTCTATTGCCAGACGACAGATGTCCGAGACATACAGAGTTCAAGCAGCCTCTCACGCGTTAATAGACGGCTAGATTGCCATGTGCTGTCATGCTTCGATCCGTTCGGAACGTCCGTGTCTCGCGGTCAAGTTGACAGTGAGGGGATATCTATGTGCCATTTCTACGAATGCATGGAGCACACTGCTTCCTGTTTTTGCGCGTTATGTCCGCAGTAAGCCATGAACTTTGGGTCGAGCCCGACTACGCAGAGAGCTGATCAGCTCGTTCCATGGGGAGATGACCCAGCGAGGAGCAGGAACACGAGCAGAAGTCTATCCTCGATACGGAAATTTGGGATCATCTCGCTGATCATCGTGGTGTGGCAGACGCACTGGTGTAAGTCCATTAAAGGTCAGGAGCACATACGTACATATTTGGATACCTGTGATACGTTTAGTTACGTCTGTAGTAGGCTTCTGGGCATCGTTGAGATTTGTAATGCCAGGAATTATTGAGGGAGATCTGAGCAGGGGTTCGACTTCTATATGAAAACTGGCCAGGTACAGGTTGTTATGGTGTGCGGAGTTTTCCGAAATATCCGTTGTAGGCACAAGCTGTTTCCGATTTCGTGACCACGGTGGACTGACCAGCTGGACTCTAGGCTTTGTTCATCGCTCACCCCAATGCCCAGCATCTTCTCTCGTTCCCGCACAAATTCAACTCCCAAAAAACAACTTTCATTAACTCCCCCTCAGGAATCCTCGCCTTTCGACGAGTTTGGGCGCATCTCCAGCAGGCTCTCAAACCTCGGCGCCAACTCCCCTTCTCCGGCCTCGAAAAAGGACAAGAAGAAGGCCAAGGAGCAGGAAAAGCGATTCAGGACACAGGGTTCTGCCAGGGAAGGCCCCGAATATGAGCAGAGCCCCGACGTTCCTCCACCCATCCCTGATGGAAGCTTCTTACCGCTCAGCCTCGAGCGCCCGAGGAATGAATCGTCTCTAGACCAGACTAAAGAACACGATTACGGCTACCTATCGTACGAGAGGCATGTGGTCCTCGGTCTCGAGCAGGTGGCACGTCTCGTCGTAGTCATTTCTGACGAGCTCGGAACACGAGGTGGCATCACCACCCCCTTCATATTTTCTACAACGGCGCTGGATATTTCGTCGTCAGCTATCAAGAGGCTGATTCGGACGTTTTTAGACACCTGCATAAACCAGTCGGGGCACGCTGCAGCGGACGCAGAGACAAAATGGAGGGACGAGGCCAGGTTCGCGGGGCCACATGAGCTGGGAATGTGTCTGCGCTGGGGCCTCGCTAGAGTCATCCGATCGGTTGGAGGCCAGGATGTGCGCGGCCTGCTCTCCTGGGATCGTTATGTTGACTTCAGAGACTCGGAAGCAGGTGCATCCATACCTACTTTACATTGACGTAGCCCACTGACGACCCTTACTCTAGCGCTCGGATACCCGCCCGCCCATTTTGCCACCCTCCTGCCAGATTTGGCGGGGACACTTCAGACAGTCCTTATTACCTTACTCACTCTTTTATCACGGTTGACCGCAAATAGTACAAGTTCTGGTCATACCCCTCCCACCCTCTCTCCCTTATTTGGACCCCTTATTTTCGGCCTCGGTCCCGCCACTCTCGCGTTCCATCACACCTACATGCACTACCTTCGCGCAGTGAACGCGATGGAGCATCTGCAGCTCGCGTTCATCCGATGGCAAGACTGCCCTCGCACCGCTGGCGACTCTACCATCACGGGCAGCGCCACTGGGCTTGGTGTCCCAACGCGCCTCAAGGAATGGATCAAAGGATATCCCGCCATGCTCCCCTTCCTCCAAGACCCATCCCAAAACCAGAAGCCACATGCTCGTAGGGGAGTACGGACCGTGCGCGTTATGAGCGTGCGGAGGAACGTCCGAATGTACTCACCCGATCTCGTCAAGACTGCCGCAACGTGGGCACACCGTAATCGGCCTGGATCTCCAGGGCCCGGCGATAATGGGCTGGCCGTCTCAAAAGAGTGGAGCCGCATCGCGCCTACAACGCTGAAGCTGTCCCCACGGTATTCAGAAGCATACAAGAAACGCATGGACATGCCGCAGAATTTCCATCCCGACACAGGGCCGGGAATATCCCAGTCGCCAAGCCTCAGCAATGCGCCGTCCTCTTCGTCCTACGCCTCGACCCTGTCCACTGGCAAAGGAGACAGTGATTATTTCGGAGTGGGATTGGGCACAAGGGAGGGCGAGGACCGGTTCAGAAGCTTGACGGACTTGAAGTGGGGCGAGTTTGAGTCTATGGGCTTTAGTGAGCTCGGGGACCAGAAGAAGCTACAATTTGACTTGACGGAAAGTGCAAGAACGGTGAGTCATCCTCCGCCTCGGCTTCCCCATTGGTATCATAATATTCATAATGATGTCCGTTCCGCTTCCTTCCCTTGTTTTCTTCTTGCCATATTTTTAGGAACGTTCTGTTAAACGAGGGACCCTATCATGGAACGACTTTTCATCAACGGGCTTCACTCGCAGCGATGCCCCCCTCAGCGCCACGCTGCAGTTCAGCTCGCCTGTCGCAAAGACAATCTCCTCATGGCCGGCTCATAGTGCCGAAATGTCGAAAAAGCTCAAAAAGACGCAGAAAGCCTTGCCACCGTTCGGATGGGATACGGAACCTGTTGTTGGTAGCGAGGAAGTGATCGAGGAGGCATTTGTTGACGTCTTCTCCGATCTCATATATGGGGGCGGGTGGATGGATTTAGAGCGATATGAAGAACTCGATAGGGACTGCAACTGGGCCTTGGTGCGTAAATCGCTCATGCCATCATTAAGCTCGGTACTGATGCCGTTGCCTCTCCTTTAAACAGATCGAGTTCAAGTCTCTGCCACCTAATCGAACAACTGCCTCGGGAGGTTCGGATCCACGCATCTCTACCACCCTTATTCTATTCGAAGAATTCGTCCCCCTTGAATATCGACAACAACTGGCTGTGACTGGCTCGACGCGACGGCGACTCCCGTCGTTCTTCTCACAATCCACTAAATCAAAGCCTTGGAAGCAGGCTGCCACCCTCAACGGGCGGCCCTACATTGTCGGCCACGTGCCTCGCAGTCCAACCTATCGTGAAGTCGAATTTGAAGGATTACTGCGCGGAGGGACTGCGACAAAAGTCATTTCTCTCGGAACCAAACCATCAGTCAAATCACCCTCTTCCCAGAAATCCGCGCCAGTGGCCCCAGAAACTCCCGTGCCCACACGAACAGCCGCCATATCCGGCCCCCTCTACGTTCCCGCACCCGACTTGCTTCAAGCCCCAAAAAGCGAAGACATGCACTCCGATTCAACAATGTCGCCATCGGTGATCTCCACCAAGCGTTCGTCGCGTTTTCGTTTGCCAGGCGGGATTCCCGTTCCTAGTCCTGGCGGCGGTCGTAAAACGGGCATTGCGCCGGCTCAATATTCTAGTGTGGATTTCGAGACGCGGTTGGCAAGTTACAGTGATGATGAGTATAGCGGGGACTCGCCAGAGCCGGAATCGGTGAAACAGAAAAGGCGGGAGTCGAAGGACGATGCGTGGGTGGATATCCTTGTCGGGACGCAGAAAAGACGCATGGGAGGGCAGGACGCGGAGAGGAAGGGGTTGCATTCGAGAAGATCGGATCCGGATATTGCGAGTTTGGAGGTTGCGCAGGTGTTGGCTGGTGTGAGAGATAGGACACCTTCGCTGCCTAGTGTGCACCACGAGCGGGTGGATCGTGATCCTGGAGGCGGATTGGATCATCTGCATGACATGGAGGATGTCGATGAAATCGAAACAGTCCCGCGCACCAGTGAAGCCCGGAGTGATTATACGGGAGATCATTCTGTGATGACGAGTAAATCTATGGACGGTGATGTGGATTCTGAAGGCGTTGACGACGAGGTGGATCAACCTTCGATGACAGCGCGGCAGATGGCACGGAACCAGCGACGTTTGGGTTATTTCGATCTTCATCCTGAGCGGAGACCGCCGTCGATGCAAATTCAGCAGGAAGAAGATCCTCGAGACAAGTTGGCTTATGATGCGGATAGCGCTAATGGCCACACTGACGAAGGGCCTACGGCTGAAGCTGTAGACACTACGCAACCTCCCAGGAAATTGCCAGTCCCTCCTGAAGCATTACGGCCTCCCACTATCCCCATAGTGGTCGAGCCCGCACCCGCGGTGCCTGAGAAATCTGCTGCTGCCGATGTTAACGGCAATGGGGTCCACCAAGCCGCCCCCGCTTCGACTCCAACCAGCAAAACTGCTGCTCTGATTGAGATGTACAGAGAGCGTGAGCGAGGATCCTCGCCGAAACCTGGCTCCATGCCCATGCCTGCTCCAATTCCCA